AAAAATAAATTAATTTAAATTTTATTCAACCCAATTTATCCTATCCAATTATTTTCAAAATACATTTTTCTCTCTTTTTTTCAATCACACATTCTTTAATAATATAATATTATACATAACCCAAAAACTTTTCCTTCATTTTCAACCACACATTCTCCATCAATATACTATTCCAAGATGCATTCTACCCAAATAATTGGGCTCAAACAGGCCCTAAGACATAATTTTGTAATCAGAATCAGTAGGAAAATTGCATATTTGATAACTAAACTTGGCATTAAATAAGATCTTTAACAACTGCAAGCATCCATACCTTGTCATCTGTTAATCCAGCATCCTCAAAAGCTGAGAAAGCATCAGCAGACAAAACTTCTGCCCACTGCACGAATTTGGACATCGACAACCATTAGAGATAATAGAAATGACGAGCCAAGAAAATGTTTCTCGGTCTATAAAGGCATGTGCCAAGTTAAAAAAAGTTACTTCTCGGAAGTAACTCATACCTTACTATAAAATAACTAGCTTACTTATTTCCAACATTGACCAATAAAAAACCTTTATTATTTCAAACCTTATTTACTTATAAGTAAACTTTTTCAGCTTAACCAAGCATGCTTTTAGCTGCAAGCCTAGTTTCCAAGTCATTTGCGCAGAATTTGACCATATAAAAAAGATCGAATGAAACATTAAAAGGCAAAACTTACAATACCAAGAAGAATGAAGAGCTCAACAGATTAAAAAACAAAATACCTTGTAACTGTAGTATCCAGCAGCATATCCACCAGCAAATATATGGCTAAAACTGCAAAGGAACTTGTCCTGTGGAAGTGGAGGAAGCACTTGCGTTTTTTCACAGACTCTCCTCTCGACATCATATATTGATTCTGAACCACCTGGGACGTACTTGGTGTGCAATTCTAGATCAACAGTTGCAAATCTAAGCTGCAGTATGCAAGAGAAGGAAGCTGATAAGTTTTAATGGGAAGTTACAGTATCCACTTCATCTTCATTGATACGGCAGGAGGAAAGCTTCCAGTTGTGAAGTTAGACAAGGGAAAGAATACATTAATAAACAAAAGTATCAATTGAATTATTGTAATTGAAGAATTTTTCAATGAACAAGAATGAGACTTTAAAAAATGGGAGAAAAAAGGGAGAGAATCAAGAGAAATTAAAGGGAGAAATACGAGTTTATTCAATATCAAGTCAAACTATTAAAATGCATAAGCTCCCTTTATATAGTGTTTAAACTAACTTAATTTAAGTAGGAAACAACCAATAAAAAACTAGAAAATCTATAATACTAAACCTCGTTATATTTCCTGAAGTATTTAAACTGGAACATTTTCAATATAATGCCCTTGTTTGGCTCCATTTTAATGGAAATTTGGGGGAAAATGAGTTTTGGAATAGAGATTTTTTGAAGAATGTGTGGTTAAAAAATAAGGAAAGATTTTCGGTTCATGTGTAATATTATTTTATGGAAGAATGTGTGGTTGAAAATGAGTTTTTGAAAAAAATGGGGTCAAACATAGGCAATATCTCTACTAGAATTCCCATCAGTTTTACAAGTTCCCGAATCAGAAAGATAACTTCAGGTGGTCTGTGGATCCTGAGTAATAGGCAGAGGCGATGTGGAGAGGAGTTAAATGCTTGACCTTAAAAAAATTTGTATCCAACCTCAGCAGTAAAAGAAATCCTAAATTATACAGATTACCATTAGCAATGCCAGATTTTTAGCTTTGTCATTAGCTGTCTTGTCTTAAAACATTTCGTAACATTCCATTGTAAGTCTAGGCCATAATGAAAAGATCTTTGACTAATTATATCTGACGATACACCAAGCAATGACTGGCAAAAACCAGCTGAAGAAGAAAGGCTGAAAAGAACTCAACGAGAAAGAAGCACAAACCTGCCGAAGACTTTGCGAGCCAGCACGGAAGGTCCTAGCAGCAAGAAGTTTTTGATATATGTCTTCAGGAATACACTCTCCAGTTTTATAATGTTTACCGATACTCATCAAGGTATCTCTGCAACAACATGCTGACTTTAATCATCAAGCATCCACTTTAATGTATATCATGCACCATGAACAACATAATTAAAAAATACTATATTTTTAAGTCACAAAAACTTGTAAAGCTCATAAACCAACAAAACCTCGTTTGAAAAGAAAAGTTACGAACAAAAAGTTCAAAAAAAAAAAACTGTTCTTCCGTAAGTTCAACTTTTCAAAAATGATGCAATGATGTCTAGGGTCACCCACAAAGCATGGCCACAGGATTTCCTTATTATCAAATTAAACATGCAAGCGCATTCTGGCATCGATTTACCTATAAATAGTAAAGTCTTGCAGAAAATTATAGTAAAAATGAGGTAAACTTCTGTACCTATACATGGATAACCCGTCTGTATAGATAATTTATGTTCGAAAGTTACATAACTGCAAGCACGATTGCAGGACTTAGGAAATTTGCACATCTTCAAATCAACAGCAATTAATGCAAAAAACAAAAAAAAAAATGATTGATGGAAAGTTGTTCAAAAATAGAGATGGATAATGATAAAGTTTCTGACAAGAAAATTCCGATATCATTCACTAACAAGAGAGTCATTGAGACAAAAATCTGGACAAGGCATGGATTGATGAGAGGAAAGCAAATTATGAGCCATATGTAATCTTTCAAGAAGGATATGCTAAATGCTCATCTTGTAGGCAAATCTAAGAAGGCCATAAAAAGATGATAACCAGAGTCACTTCCATATGAAAGTCGATGAAAATCAAGGAACCGAAGAAGACACATAGAGGCTGTTAAATATCATTGATTCAAGGTATGATCGAAAGAATATAAAGATACTTGAAAAGGCTTATACTGATAATGTCCACATTCTAAATAGCTATCAAAAGTAAATGATAAGGGCCATACTGCCCTTGATGTACGACAGCATTTTACTCTCTTTTTTCTTATATTTATTTAATTTTTAAAATTATTTTTTGTGGGAACAGTAAAGTTACAATTTTGCCCTTTTAAAATTAGTCAAAATTGGTCAAAAGATGTCAAATTTTTGTATTTTTGTTCAACTAATGTTGGAATGGACGGATTTCGTTGATTTGTCCTTGCTGTATTGAAACGAAATGTTTGGGGCTATGAGTGACACAAATGAAAGGTCTGGGTATAAACTGCAAAAAATGAAAGATTTAGGTCCACAATTGCAATTATCCCTTTTTAATTTTGGCCCTTTTAAGTTGGTTTAATGCCTAAACTAACGGAATTAGACGATAGACGTGTTTCGCAAGCTTTGGAACATGCAGGGGAATTTTTCACCAAAATGAAAGGATAAGGGTAGGGTATTCTACAATAGAGACAAAGGGCACATGGTTTTCTGTCAATTACCTAGAGACTACTATGCCAAAGAGTGTGATGGTTTGATGGATAAATCTGTCAACGAAAAATTTCTAGTGACGAATTGATTTGGCAAATGGAGAAGATAAAAAAGCTAATATTTGATATTCGACCAAAGGAAAAATAAGAAAGACCTCTTTTAGTGAAACTGTCACTGTAGTAGACTCATTATGGCCCTGTTTGAGCCAAATTATTATAGAATGAGAATGAAAAATATATCCGTTATTGAGGCCCACACAAGAGATAAAAAATTTGAATTTAAATGTTGATGTGATGGATAACGGTCATATTTTTCATTTTAATGAGAAAATAAGGTGGCCCAAACGGAGGCTATATATGAAAGCATCTAATATGAAATTACCCTAATTTGAACTATCAAAAAGGAATCTTCTCCATTTCAAAATTTTTGGTCAAAAGTATGGATAAATATTCGAGTTTAGAGGGGAAAAGGATGAGAAACATTTAGTCATGTCTGTTTATTTTAAGAATAAAAGTAAAGAAGTAAATAACTGCAAAACTAGGAAGGTCACTTAGGGATGGCAAAAAAATTGGTTGACCCGAGACCTACAAGGCACCGGACAGTACAGGGCGCGAATTTCTCACTCCGTTAGTTAGCCAAGCACGTATCGGTTGTCGTACCCTGCCTCGTTTAGTATTATTTAAAAGAAAAATTAGATTTCAAAGAAAAAGAATATACATACAAGAATGATCTACTGAGCATCGGTGCTCATTTTATGTTGAGCACCGATGACATGTCATATAAATCCATTGGTGTTCATTTTATGTTGTGCACCGATGACATGTCATATAAATCCATTGGTGGATAAACTTATGGTAGAGGTTGACATCATTTGTATTAAGTTTAATATCCACCAATGGATTTATATAACACGTCACTTGTGCTTAACATAAGACGAGTATCGGTGCTTATTAGAACATGACAGTAAATGGGGCAAATGAGTGTACTGCATCGTCCTATTGCCATCCCTACTTTTGAAGCTTGATATGGATATATTTCAATTTGTAGGGAAGGAAACCTTGAGAGACCCAAATTGATGAGGATTAAAAATATATTTGAAGGTGTACTAAATGCATATTTTTAACTTAACAAGGAAAAAGAAATAGAAAATGCCAAAAAAAAAAAAAAAA